GGTAAGAAGAGATTAAATTATGAGTATGGATTAGTGTGGAAGCTGCTTTCCTGCTGGCAAGGGTAGAATTTCAGCAGTAGGGTGAAGTGATTCTCTGTGTCAAATATCTAGGGTGAAAAAGGTCCTTGAAAAAGAAATGGAAATCAGCATAGTTAAGACAGGCCCTGAGGAAGAAGGCTGTCTGAGCTCATGCATGCAAGAGATAGTGGTTTTTTTTACCTCTTACCCTGTAAGAGCCAGGAAAGGAAGGGCCCATGTGAGCTGCCCACCATGGAAATCATCCCACAGATTCTGAAACAAAGCAGACTTTCAAGTCATACCACCTACAACAGATTCACAGAACACTCTAGGTGGTTTCCTTTTGTGGTGGTTTCCTTTACTCATAGATGAGGTTCTTATCCCTCATCTAACAAAAATCTCATGTCGCAAAAGAATCCAAATGTTGAAGAGCACTGTCCTTGAGACCGATGTGGTAAAACTGTGGTCAGGAAAAGTGTGGATAACTCAACAGGCACACCGCCTGGGTCACCACATCCACACAGCTCTTGATTTCTTTCCAGTGTTAATCTTAGAAAATTCATGTTTTATTTAATTAAGAAGAGAAGCATTACAAAATCATAGATTTCATATAAGGGATATGGCCTAGTAAGATAATGGGTATAAAGCACGTGGTTTCTCTTATAAAACAAAACTCTGAATCTTTGTGATTTAACTCTCCAGGGAAATAATAGTCAGGGAGTGGAAGCCTGGCGAAACTTTCCAATCTTGTCTCCTGAGATTCTTCTTCCCAAGGGGGACTGTTTATCTCAAGAACTGTTACCAAGCCCAGGAGTACAGTGTTCTTCCTTTCACATTCTGTTTCGAATTTAGTCGAAAACTCCTCTTGCCTTTGCAGGGCAGAAACAAACTAGAATACCAAAGGCTTTTCTAGTAGTCTAGGAGGAGTAAAACAAAGAGAAATGTGGAAGCAGGAATATGAAATCCAGGCACACGGACTTTGAAGCAAGGTAATCCCGACTTACACTGTAGCTCTTCCACTTAATGACTGTGTAGCCACGTGCAGGTCACGTAACCTCTTAGAAACATAGTTTTTTCATCTATAAAACAGGTAAATATATACAGTCCATTTTTCTTCCAGAAATATACATCAAGATCAGGTTAGACTTGCAAGAAGTTGGAGAAGATGCATGTAAGAGAAAATGGGGAGAAAGCTAGAGAAGCTGGGGAAGGAGCGAGCAGTCAGACAGCAGTGCACATCTGGCCTTGAGGAGACGGAAATAAGAAAAGTCAGACTGACTGTAGAATGTTCCTACAAAGCTGATGTAGAACTCTGAGGTCCAAATCATCTGTCTGAGGATTCCTCTGTCTTGCAGGAATGGGCCTATCATAATTTCCCTACCTGTACCATAATTTCCCTGGAAACACAACAGAAGCACACCTTCAAGTAAATGTGCTTCCTACAGCACATTTTCATGGCTGCACACATATCTTTTTCCACAGGAATTGGGAAGCAGCACCTCCATGATCCCTAAGGGCTTCTTTCCTGTGGGCAAACTTAGAAAGCACAGGGGAGTGGAACAAATGATAATCTCATTCCCTTACTGTCATCTGTCATCAAGACAGGTCTTGGTGGCTTGCTGGTAGTGTGACTAGAGCCTAGATTCCTGAAAGCACTGATAATCATTCTGTTGGTAATCACATACTTCATGAATGAGTCCATTCAAGCAAAGCAAGAAAATACCAGTACATGTCCAATTGCATCACAGGAATTCCATATAAATTCCTTCCCTGTCCCCACTGTGTAAAGCAACCTCCTACTGATCAGGCTCAACTACTTCTGCTGATAGAGTGGCTCCTTGTCTCAGACTGGCCCCTGATACAAGGAGTCCAAAGTGTCCTAGTGGTACCCATAACTTATAGTTCAGTAGGATATCCAGTAGGATCCTCCTGTCTTTGGGGATCAGGACCTCCAACTCTATGGAGCCTAGCGTCACAGGAACAAGAAGTACAAAATCCCTCAATAGGTAATTCAGAATGTTGGCAAGTGGGGATACTCCAGCTTACACTCTTTGGTTTCCAGGCCCATGTAATTCTGCCCACTGAGTATCTAACACCACAAAGAATTCTCTCTTTATGGCACCAGACTGGCACTTTGGCTGTGCCTTTAAAAGATCAAACACTTTCTGAGGCTAGCAGCCCCTGGATGGTGCAGTGTGATATGACTAGTGGGCTGTCTGGTCATGGACCAGTTCACACATCTTTCGCTGTTTATATAATGGAGGATACATTTAGATTCTTTGATATTGCAACTTAAAAAGAATATATATATATATATATATGTATGTATGTATGTATATATGTATATGTGTGTGTATGGATAGATAGTCATTTGAATGACCAAAATATACTTCTCATATATATTTGGTCTTCATCCACAGTTCCTGGCTCACAGCTCCCAAACCCTTGGAATCTCCTAAGTGTTGAGTGTGACAGAGGTGTTTCTTGCTATGCTAATGAGGTCCTTTGGAGGGGTTTTGTGTTTGACCTGAATCAATCATTTTTCTTTCTTTCTTTCTTTTTTATTGAGGTAACTGGTTTATAATGTTTTTGCTTAGAGCTTCAGGTGTTGTTACTATAACACACCTACACCAAACACCCACAGTCCACCCCCACAATCCATTATTCTCCCCCACTTCATTCTCAAGCCTCCCCTCCTCTTCTTCCCTTTCTGGTAGCCTCAGTTTTCTAAGGTTTGTTGTCTATAGTTTTGTTTTATCTGACACTTTGTTTGGTTTCTCTATATTCCACATTTGACTATTTTGCTTAGCATAATTCCCTCCATTTTCATGCATTTTGTTGCAAATGACAAGAGTTTATAGTTTTTATAGTTGAGTGGTAAATTGCACATATATACCATATCTTCCTAATCCACTCATCTTTATTTGGGCACATAGAGTGTTTCCATAACTTGGCTACTGTAAATAATGCTGCAGTGAACAGTCCAGGTAAATTGTGATGCTAGTGCACTGATGTGTTCAGAGTGCAGCAGCTAGGGCTGCCAATCCAGTAAGTGTAATAGGAGATGTGAGAAACACATCTTCATGGTTACCACAACACTTAGCAGGGTTATTTTGAAGATAAAATTTTAAATACATGTGAAATTCTTCACTATATCTAACACATAGAAAGCACCTGATGTACATTTTGTTATTTGTTGTAATATTAATAGTCATAACTGTTTCTTAGCCTCCTTCATTGAGAGGACATCATTTTATACCATTCAGAAGCAACTTCTTAGAGAAGTTGTCAACTTTCATGGTCGAGGCCAATATACACAGAACAAGATGGGCCTTTTTCTAAATGACACTATTCCTCTAGTAACATCCATTCAGGGGTATGAATTTGCTTTACAGACCTACGGGCGTAATACAGAATAATTAATAAAAGCTAATCTATATCATAAATTAGACTTCCACATGGAAGTCATTCTTTGACAGTATATGAATATACCTTAAAATATATACCAAAAAATAAATAAAAACTAATAGAACCTTTTTTATGAATAATGATGAAGAAGATGATGGCTAAGAACCTGCATTTAGCTATATAATTTATGGGGATTTGTTTTACAGAGACAAGTCAGGGAGGTTAATTTAGAATTTATTAACATAGCAGGTGTGAAGTCACAAATATCTAGTCTCGATGTCCAGTTCTGGGTGACATTTAAAAGGACAGGAAAAGAACAATGAAAAACATTTAAAAGGAAAAACTATCAGAGATTCATAACTAAATTGCCATAATAAGAAAGACAGAAAAATGAAAACAGAGAAATCAAAGACCCAGGGTCCTAAGAAAAATACTGGTTCAGCTAAGAGATTAGAACGGGCACTTATTTTTGTTGCTTATATTTTTTTTATGGTCAATTTATTTATTTATTTTTTTTTGTTATGTGAATTTTTTTATTAAAAAGTTTATTTTTACATCATTTTGCACATTTTTTTTTCCATCTCAATTGTAATCCCCGCGGGTTTCCCATCACCAAATCACCCCTGTGCCACCACCATAGTCCCGTGCATTTCCCTCCCTTCCCCCCCCACCCCATTTTTGATCCCATTCCCCACTCCACCCCCACAGAATGTCTCTGGTATATGGTTGTTCATTATTTTTGTTATTTTCTCTCCTGGTCCATTATACTCCTGCTATGAGTGAAACCATCCGGTATTTTTCTTTCTCTTTCTGGCTTATCTTTTTTAAAGATTTATTTATTTATGCGTACAGAACAGGGGTACAGGCCAGAAGTGCAGGGGTGATGATAGGATTCACCAAAGACAGAGTGGGGAGCAGAGCAGGCCAACCACGAAGTACTCTGCTGAGGGGAGCAGCGGGCAGGTCAGGAGAGGTCTGCTGCGCCATGTGGATCACTTCCGGGGCGGGGATCAAATTCATGCTGAAGTGGCTTTAGCTTCTTAGTGCTTTAACCCTCTGTGCCAACAGGGAGGGCCCTGTTTTTGTTTTTTTTTTTAAGATTTATTTATTCATACAGAACTGGCATACAGGCCAGAGATGTGGAGGGTGGGAGGAGCCACCAGAGACAGAGTGGGAAGGAGAACAGGTAGACTGACAAAGTACACTGCTGAGGGGAGCAGCGGGAGGGTCCGGAGAGGTCTGCCGCGCCATGTGGGTCACCTCCGCGTGAGGCAGGGATCGAACTCACGCAGAAGTGGCTTAAGCTTCTTAGTGCTGGGCTTTAGCCTGCTGCACCACCAGGGAAGGCCGCCCTGTTGATTTTTTTAAATGTCATTCCTTTCCCCTCTTCTAACAACAGCCCGCTGTCTTGGGGAACTTCTCTCAAGACACTTCACGTGGTTCTTATATGGCCATCCATTAGAGTTGCCCACATTCTGGCCATAGGGTGGAATTGTAGAGTTCCATCCATCTGACTACCCTACTTTTCCCAGTGAAGGACACATGACACAAATCATTTCAATCAGTGACCTTACCTTGGATTTTATATACAGAAACTGAGATGTTTCTGTCTCCTACGGCTCCTAGACTGTGATGGATGATAAAATCCTGAAGCTTCTCATGTTCCAGCAGCCATGTTCCCATCATCCTCTTGTATGCAAGAAACAAGCTACAGTAGAAATAAAAAGTGGGAACGAAGGGGACTATACACTGAGAATAAACAGACTTAGAGGTGACAGTTTTTGAGAACCTACACTCACCTCCACCCCTGACATACCAATTATATAAACCGTTGCTCAAAGTTGTTTTGTTTGTCTCAGATTTGTTTGAATTGGGTTTCTGTCATTGTAAGTAGAAAAGAGCTCAGCTATCTGAGGAGAGAATTGATTTGATAAATTTGAGGTAATGGGAGAAGATTAAAAGTCAATGGCAGAATAAGGAAAATGTGTATTTCAAACTAACAGGTGATCACATACAGTGCATAAAAATATATACTGCCCTTACTGTGTCCATGTGACTATTGGCTTAAAGAAGAGTCTTATATAAAGGGCATAGCCATATTTGTGAAATTTGGATTCCAGTACTGAACAATTTTGTAATCTTGGACAATATAATGATATTTACCAAGTAAATATTTTATTCCAAGCATTATGGTGAGAACTTCATATGCATTACTCTATATAATCACTAGTTCACACATGAGAGGAAATCTAAGACTCAGAGCTTATAAGAAAGCAAGTGTATTTATCTACTAAGTGCAGCTGGGAGATCTGAATGTAGATCTCTCTGACTCCAGCACCTATGACTTTACCAATAAGTTATATAGCCTCTCTTGGGGGTCAATTTGTATCTATTACTTGAGGCTAAAATGCTTTACAGTTCACAGATGTCATTTAACTAACTTTCATAATTTCTCCATCCACTGGAATTCTTGAGAACTACTGCATAAATACAGATTGTACAATTTCTGGCTATATTAAATATCTTTAAGGGCTCAAATATGGAACTTCCATTCCCTCTTAAATCTAATATTGATTTTACACAAGCAATGAAAACTAATTTGATATAAATAGTAAATCTTGTGCAGAAACAGCAGGAACACAAAGATCGCTTATCTTCTGGGGGATCTGGTTCCCCCATTTCCACTAGAATCCCTACCAGAGCCTGGCAAAGAGCCAATCCCCCTTTCCCTGCCCTTTGCAATTATTTTGTTATAGGTATCTAAAAGAAATTTATATTAAATAAAGGGGGGGGGACAGAAACAGAATAAGGTCCCCAACAGACAGATTATGATAAAGAAAAGGTTCTTCATTTTCTTCTCTTAAGATACTTAGATGTATACTTAAGTAGATGAAGTCCTCATCAACATTTAGAATCTCGAAAAAGAGATATAAATGAAAAGACATTTTTCATATGAGAATCCATTAGGTAAGAGGAAAACTTCAACTAAGCATGAGATACTCAGCAATCCCCTCCAGCATGGGCATTTATCATGTGGCTAGGCATTGGCAGGTAACTCCCAGGATACCCCCATTCTGTCCTTGGGCCAGTCCAGTATGGTTCCTACCACCGATTTCTCCACTGAAATTGTTCTTCCCAAGTTTCCAGCAATACTCAGGTAGCCTAAGTCAATGAATACATTTTAATGCATGTGTTCTGGAACTCAGTAACTGTTTTTGAGTTGGCCACTTCTTGTCTGCTCCTTCTGCCTCCTTCTGGCTCCGTATTTTGTATTTCCTCTGATTTCATTCTCTCTCAGTTCTTTCTTCTTTACATCCATTCACTCTTTCAATCTCTTTCCTATTTTTCTTCTTCTGACTCTTAAAAAAAGTCATCTTGGGCCCTCACTGGTGGCGCAGCAGGTTAAAGCCAAGCACCAAGAAGCACTAAGAACTTCCACATGAGTTCGATCCCTGCCTGCCCCGGAGGTGACCACATGGCATGGTAGACCTCTCCTGACCTGCCCGCTGCTCCCCTCAGCAGTGTACTTCGTCCACTCTGTTCTGTTCTGTTCCCACTCTGTCTCTGGTAAATCCTCTCACCCTCCGCATCTCTGGCCTGTACCCCAGTTCTGTATGAATAAATAAATAAATCTTAAAAAAAAGTCATCTTTGGTCTCCTTCTAAGTTCTCTCTATTCACTATTCCTGGATGAGCTCAACTCTGTCCATAACTTCAAGAAATACCCTGATGACTCCCCAATCTATATCTCTAGCCCTGATCTCTCTTGTGAACTCCCAACCTATATATCCTTCATCTCCTTTTGGATGTCCCACAAGCCTCTGAACTATAACATGGTATAACTGAACTCATCTTACCAGTACCTGGACCTTACTTCCTGTCTCTGTCTCTGTTAATGACTCCAGGTCCACAATGCTCTCTCCCTGGCTTTAAGGAGTCATTCCTGAGACTTTCCTTTCTCATCCATACCTTACCTATTTTTTTCCCTTACTTATTTAACTTCTACACATTTTCCTTCTATTTTTGTCCATGTCAATTTGGACATAATTTCCCCCAGGAATTTTATACCAACCCAAGTTATTCTTTCTGTATGTTCCTATGACACCTTAAATTTCCCCTTCCATAGCTCTTAGCATTATATAGTACCATTAATTATGTGGTTACCTATCTAAATATTTCACAATCTTAGTAAGAACCTTACCTAAATTGTTCACTGCTATATCCTCAATGTCTAACACAACCTGGAGAGAACAGATGAATTGTATTCACCTGGATTCAACAGTTCAAAAATATTCACAGTTCAATATATATTTTGCCTATATGTGCCCTTTTACTTCCTAAATTGTGTATGGAATTACCTATAATTCCATAGTCTTAGCTCAAATTCTGGTCATTTCTTAACTGGGCTACTGCAACAGTTTCATAACTCAAAGCTTCTCTACAAGCTTCCAAAAATAATCATTCTAACATCAAGGTAGATCATATCACTCCCAAATTTAATGGTATCAGTGGGCTCATTCGACCACTCCAAAACCTGAACATAACATAGCAGAAAGCCCCATGCTTTAACTTCTGCTTGCCTATTCTCCAGAGTCATCACTCACCACACCCCCCAAAACATCTATTTCATGCTGCTAATCCCTTCACACATACAGTAGCCCCCAACTGCCCACTCTGACTCACTACTGTTCTTCAATAAAATGTTCACTGACCATTTGATATACACCAGGCAATGTTCCAGGTGGTAGAAAAATGGTCAATAACAAGACAATTTCCCTACCTTCCTGGAGAAAGTCACCTTGAGCAGGGTGACTTTCTTCCGTGCTTCTACAGAACTATAAGAATATCTTTATGATGCTTTATCACAATATGCTACATAACTGTTGATGTACTTGACTTGGTGTTAGGAGGCATCTTTAAGAAAAAAATATTACTAACAGAGTCAAACCCTTTCTAGGGCCTTAAAAGGGGCAGATGCAAGTAACTCAAAGGTAAAGTCACATCTGTTTACCCTGTCTATCACTAGACTGTGAACTTTTCATTGCTGTACTCCCACTCTAGAGTTGCACTCCATCCCACCTCATAGCTCTTTCTCCTAAATCTATTATCTTTGTTTACTGATCACCCACAAAACCCAGGAGATAGATCTACTTGTCATGTCTTGTCTTGGGGATGACCTAACCCTGGAGCTTGCTCTTGAGCTAGGAGATGCTAATTCTGAAACTTCAGTCCAACCCTTGCAGATGTTACTGGAAGCAGGAATCCTCTCAGAGGACCACTCACTGGTTTTCCAGCGACTTCCAAACACTTCAGTTAGTTTTCAATTATTCCCGAAAGGTACAGGACCTCTTGCAGCAGATTAAAAACATTTACAAAAGAGTCCCCAGGAATCACTAAAGGATTTCAAAATTGTTCACAAAAAAGGGTATGAAATGTGTAAAAACCAGACCCCATATCTAGACTTGGAAAAATTATCTCTGGCTTCCTCACTCACTCACTCTTAAGTCTTTTTGATCAAAACTCGAAAAGCATAAACTCTGTTGGTCCAAATATTTTCTGAACCACCCCAAATCAGAGAAACAAAATATTTTAAAGTAAGAAGGCACTAGAATAAATAAATCAAGAAATTAGTATGTCTAACATGTGCAACCTAAGATTAATTCATGGTGCCGATGCCAGTTCTCAAAGGGCATATAAAAAAGTCTCTCCATGACCAAATGGAAAATACTTTCTTACCTACAGTGTTATTTTCCCCTCCTTTCTTCATTCGTAAGCATTTTACTTATTTATTTAGTTATAGGGTTTTCTTGGACTTTAAACCAATGCCATTAATAAGTCACATGCTTCTGGAACAAATTAGAAATTACTGCAGAAAAAAACAGGATACTTATAAACTACTCTCTTAAATGTGGCGGACATATTCAAACAGATAAAATTACCCTTTAAATATCTTAGATCTAAGCAACATATATCAGAAGTTGGTTAAATTTCATTTGCTGGAGGCTAAGAAACTAAGCTCTAAGGGTTTTCATGGGTTTATGTAGCCAAAGAGATCTATACAACTGATAAGTCCCACATTGCAAATAATTCAGTAGTTTCTTTTTAAAGGTTTATTTATTTATGCATATAGGATATGGGTACTGGCCAGAGGTGTGGGGGGTGAGAGGATTCACCAGAGACAGAGTAGGAAACAGAACAGGGAACTGACCTGAAATACACTGCTGAGGGGAGCAGCGGGTGGGTCAGGAGAGGTCTGCTCTGCCATGTGGGTCACCTCTGGCCGGGATTGAACTTGTGTTGTAGTGGCTGTGGTAGCTTCTTAGTGCTGTGCTCTAATCCACTGCGCCACCAAGGAGGGCTGCAAATAATTCAGCTTTAAGCCACATAAAGAATCTAAGGACATAAAATGTAATATCCACATTTATGTTTATACTTTTGAGCTAAATCTCAGACACTGAAAATAAAACATGGTCCCTGCCCTAAAGAAACTCTTTAGTAAGAGGAGGAAATTCAACAGATAATGATACCACAAAATGGTAGAAGTAATGATAGGGAGAGACACAGGGTATTATATAGACACACAGGAAGGGTTTTTTTTGTTTGTTTTTTTGTTTTTATTATTTTTTTTTAAAGATTTATTTATTTGTGCATACAGAACTGGGGTATAGACCAGAGGTTCAGGAGCGGCGAGAGGCTTCACCAGAGACAGAGTGGGGAACAGA